AATCTAAACCTCCCCCTGGCACAACTTGAGGCCACTTCCTCTAATACCTCTGGGTAGCACCTCGAGCCATTCACACATTCAAGTGTCCTTGGAGACAATTTTTGTCTCCTCCTGGTCTTGCATTTCTCTGAGATGCCTCTCTCCAAGGCCTCTGAGCTCCTATGGTTCCATGAGCTGCTCACCTCCAGACTTTGGATAAGCAGACTTTGGATAAGCATAGGGAGATGGGTGGACTTTCTGTAACGGAACAACCAAACCCATCCCTGGACTCAGGCTTGCACACCCCCAGGTACACTCAACACTAAATGGAGCAGCCACCACCTCTGTCACTCTGAGTCCTCCCCCCCCTCTGACTGTCATGTCTTGTACTGACCTTGTGGTGCATTAAAGGTGGTCTTGCATGAACAGAGAGTTTTGCCATCACTTCACTCTGCTTGCACAGATTCTCAGTGTCTCCTCCAAAAGCAGAGCATCCAGCTGCCTTCCTTCAGCTTCAAAGGGCTTGCAGGCATCCTGAGCAACCTGTGCTCAGGTCTCAGGGTCCCAAGCCTCTGCTGCAAAGTAAATTGAATAAAAGGCATTTTAAACACCTAGATGCCATTTAATTTCAATCTGTAGAGTTATTGTGACTGTTTTGGGAAGGATTTATTTCTTCCAAAAGAGTTGCTTACTTGTACGTTGAGTCCAGAGGCAACAGGAGAAGCTCAGCACCCAGCTGCAAGGTACAGGATAAGTGGGCTGAAAGATCCTGCTTCTCATTCTTCTGATTTTGCGTTTATTACTTGTCCAAAGCTTTGTACGAAATCCAGTGCAACAGCAAATGATAACTAAAACAACTCCTGAGGTCTCAAAGTACAGTCACCCCCTTGGTGGTCTAACCAGTTGCGTGGGCTGTTAATGCGAAGACAAAACTGAAAACAGTATTTTAATGTCTGACTAAACACACATTAAACAATGTGGGAGATTTCTCTGATTTGGACCTTTTTAGTCAGGCAACAAAGCAGATGAGAACTTCTCTTATGAGCTAGTTAACAGTCTCTAATTTCCAACTTATATCTGAAAAGCCTGTGGGTTGTTTGGAAAGGCTTTTTTCTATTATATGCAGGACTTAATCTACCCCTTCCCATTCAGCTAAATTACTTTATGTCCTAGTCATAGTGAAGCACTTAAAGGCTTCCCACTATTAGTATCTCCATTCTAGATCATAAAATAATCTTCCTAACTTCAAAGCTATCAGCAACTCCATCTTCTCTGCTTGGGATAGTTAACCATAGTAAGTACTTCAGTTATTTTGGGAGGTAACATGTGGCTTAAGATACCTAGGCAAAAAACACCCAGCTATTGAAATGAAAACCAGGTAATGTCAGGACAGTTTTAAGTGGCAGCCTGCCCTTATTTCTTTAAGCAGCACACGGAAAAAACCTAGAAATCAGTTTTGAGTGAGCCCAGAGGCAGAGTGAGCTCTGAGCACAGCAGATCTCTCAGTCACCCTAAGCACAGAAGACAGGAGCTGGTGTGATGGCACAGTGGGTGTGCTGCACCCAGCAGCATGGGGCAGGCAGAGGTGGGACCCACAGGTCCCACGCTGTGGGATTGTGGTGGCTCCTCTCCAGCCCCACGTCCCTCCGGCTCTGCGGGTGGATTCGCGGAGCACTGCACAGGTATGAGGCCTAGTGGGGTTTTCAGACCTGAAAAAAAACAGCCCAGCAGATGTTCAGTGCTTCTCAGCTGTCTGCTGGCACAGAGTGCCGTGGCTTTCTAGTCTCTGTTCCTCAGAGGCTGGAGTAAGACAAGCCAGATTACTTGAAATCCAGTGTCTTGGGTGTCTTCAGATACACTGAACTGAGGAGTAAATACCACAAGCAGGATGAATAAAACAAATCCTCTTACACCTTTTAAAGTGTTATTATGTGTTCATGCCCAAGCTTGCATTATTTCAACAACAAAAAACAGGTCTGGTCTGGGTTTCCAGCCTCACTTTTCAGACAAGACACAGGCACCCAGAGGCAGGTTTTCTAGCAGTTCTTATGCAGCTGCTGACATGGTTAGACCCTTCTGCAACAGCAAAAGCACCTCCTTCCTTATGCTCAGTTCAGTTCATTTAATGGATGGAGATGACTTACATTTCTGTGCCCAGCAGAAGCCCCAAACCAGCCCTTAACCATGCTCCAGATGTTCAGAATCTCAACACAAGGCTGTTAATTGACTAAAAGCTCCAGGCACACAGCCCTGATATCTGCCAGGCATAAAGAGGACCTGAAATTCACAGTAATTTTCTTTGTGCGATTAGCAAAGTGAACTTTGCTTTCCATTTCAGCATTTAATACCTGGCAAATAGCAAATTACCTGTAGCTTGGAAGGAGGATATTTGAGTGTTCATTAAGTTAAATCACACTCCACATACAAAAAAATAGTAAGGTAATATTGTTCCAACACCTACACCAAACATTTACCTAGCTATCTCTATAAGAATTAGATTAAACAATTCATCCTGGGCCAAAATCCAAGTGTGACTAACTTTTTTCAGGGCCACAAGCTTGGCAAAGTGCTCAGTGATAACAAAGTACACGTTTTTGAATTATGTGACTGGGAAATCCAGAGGTCTGATCATGTCTCCATGGGTACCTTCTCAGATCCCTATTCAATGTAATAAGAAAAGTACAAGTCAGCTGTAGCAGCTCTGCAGAAACCCAGTGCTGGTTCCCATATAAGTGCTGGGACACTCAAAACCCCCAGTTATTCTTGCCAGGGATGGTGGTGTTAGTAACTGCTTTTGGAAAGACATTTGTGCCCTGGAGAGAGCATCTTGAAAACAGATGTTTGGAAATATTTTTGTGGTCATAGGGTTTTGTTACTAGAACTGGTGTGAGTGTGGCACTGATACATGCTCTCTGACCTGTGGCAGTTTAGGCTTCTGCACCACAGCAGCCCAGGGAGAAGGCAGGAGTCACCCTGTCCCCAGGGAAGAAGAGAAATAGCAAGTCCCTGCCAAGCAGTTTCCCTTCCTCTTTCCTTCTTCTCTTCAGAAAGAGCTGTCGTCCTGTTCTGGCTCTGTGTTGCAATGCTACTCAGAAACGGGGAGGATTGAAGGAATTCTCCCCCTTCTCCCCAGGGCTTTCCCTGTGCCTCGGGCTCCCTTCTCCTGTGCCTGGCAGAGGTTTCTTCCTACACACTCACGGCCGCTCCTTGCGATTCAGTGAACACAAACTCAAGGCACTGATAACAGCTTGGGTGATGTTTCCTTACAGTCAGCACCCAGCAACAAGACAACAAAGGCAGTAAGGACATTTCTGCAGCTACAGTAAGGAAATACAAGACCTTCCGTTGCTTTAAAAGTATATAAAAAATAAGGAAAAATTAAGCTTCACTGTCATTTCAGACATGAAGTCACGCTGGCATCCCCACTTGGTCTGCTCCTTTTCCCAAAAAAACCTAGGGCCTTTCCAGCACTTCAGGGCAACAGCAAAGTCCAGCTGATCTGCACTTTGCCTCTGCCTGGGCCAGGCCTCCAGGGATGCTCCAACAGTTCCAGGAGACCCTCCTTGCTCTGCCCAAATGCCCATCCCTGAGCTCTGTCCACAGTGTCTTCACAGTGCCCTCACATTTACTGCTCTAACACTCACACCACGAGTTCATGAACCTCCCAGGGAAGGGTCCAAGTGCTGAAGGGAAGAGAATTGCTGAGTCCCACCACTTCAAGATCAGACCTCTGCCTTGCAGAAAAAGCACCAGACCATATAGAGAATTGGGTGATTCCAAAGCTTCACAGAGCAGGATTGGTTTTGTTCCTACATTGAAAAAAAACCAGAGAAGTAGAGGAACCAAAGCAAGGAGAAGGGCAGGAGGGGGGGGGCACACCTCCCATTTCTTCTATTTCCTTTACACAACTTTCGTAGTGTTTTACTTCCAGTTGATCCAGCTCCTGGGAGACTGCTGAAATGTGGGAGGGGAGTATCCCCTGGGCACTGTTGCCTGTTGCCATGCAGAAGCAGTGCTCTTCAAATCACAGAGCCCTTCTCTGTCTAGAGAAGAAACAGGCAGCAAATGGGAAGAGATTTCTTACATTTTGTCAGCTTGGGAAATTCCCCATGCCACTGGAAAACCCAGAGGGAGATAAAGGGGATCAGGAGGGACCTAGTCTGGGTAACAGACAGGGATGTGAAACAGCATCTGGCTGCAGAGGGACCCCACACACCCAGCACTCTGGGCACTGGCTACAGCCCCAGCCCTGCTGCTCCCTGCTCTCTGCCAAAAGCTGTGGAGCAGCAGCTCAAGAGCCACCACCACCACAGCAAAGACCATCAGGACATTTCTATAGGTGTCAGAGATGCCCAGCTGGAAAGTTTGCCTGGGTTACAGGAATGGGTGCTCCTTCATAGCCTTAAAGGGCTGAACTGGTTTGCATATGGACTGCCAGGAGAAAATCAAAGTGGGGACACTGGTTTCACACCACAGCCCTCTGTACCCAGTGGGATCTGGGGGGTTCTGCACTTCCCCTGCTATAGCCTCACAGGCATGTCTCTTCACCCATATCACCTATGTCCTCCAGCCACTCCATTATTACCCCCTGTTCTGATCCTCTTTGCCTGTCATCCCCACTCCTGACTTCCCATCCCTGGATGGATTTTAAAGCCCTGTAGACGTAGCACTGAGGGACATGGTTTAGTGGTAGCATTGGCAGTGCTGGGTTAATGGCTGGACTCCATGATCTTGAAGGTCTTTTCCAACCAAAACAATTCTATGATTCCTAAACCTGTTCCCATAAATTTTCCTCTTTTTTTCTGGCTTCTCTCTCCCCCCAGCCCGACATGCAGCCCCTGGCAGCATCCCGAGGCACTGCCAATGTTGCTGGGGGACCCTCCTGCCCAAAAACATGCTGTGGAGAAAGACAAGGAGACATGTGCAGGTGCCTACTGGTTTTATTACCAGCCCAGTGGCCAGGTTCCCAGCCCCAGGGTGTCACCCTGCCCTCCCTGGTGTCCCCAGCATGGTGAGTGAGCTCACTCAGAAAAGCCCCACCTGTTGCAGTGGGGTCCCTGCCACTTGCCATAGCACTGGCAGCGGAACTCCTTGGCCAGCCAGGAGACATCATCACCAGTCTCCAGGCTCTGTGCCACCAGCCAGGGCTTGCCAGCTCTCAGGTTGATGGCGAAGCGGGAGGGATCCAGGTGGAGGAAGCCCTGCTTGTCCTCCCGGCGCACGCAGCGGCCCTGGCCCAAGCACAGGCTCCAGCTGCACAGCTCGGCGCTGGCTGTCACATTGACAATGTAGTGGCCCAGGGGCCCCTCCACGTAGTTCTTCAGCCTCAGGCACATCTCCTGCAATAGCACATGGTGTCACAGCCCTGTGTGGCTGGGGAACAATGGGGTACCGGTGGGCAGTGGTAAGGTTCCACCCACCACACTCACCTTGGAGGTGCTGTAGTTGAGGCTGCCCCAGAGGACAATGCCAGCAGCACCCTGAGCTGCGCTCTCCCCGATGGTGTTCATCAGGTCCTCCTGCACTCAAGGGGAGAGGAGAAGTCAAAAGTGCCCAAAGCCCCCTGCACTGCCCCAGAAGAGGTAAAGACTCCCCAGACCCAACCCATCAGCCCAAGAGGTGCCCACCATCCCCACATGCCCATCACCTGGGAGAGGAAGTCAACGGTGCAATCGAAGGCAATCTGGGAGTAGGGCAGGACGGGGACACTGCTGTTGAGGACAGCAAAAGCCTCAGCCACGCGGTGCCGGACGTAGGCGAGCACCTTGCTGGTGCCATTCAAGGCAGGGGGCAGGTAGATGCTGGGGTAGAGTGCCTGGCTGTTCTGCCAGAGCCACCACAGCTCCTTGTTCCTCTGGTGCTCCACCACCGGGCACATCCCAGTGTAGGGCAGACTGTCAAAGTCATTGTTGTAGCAGCTGGGGAAGCCATAGAAACCCCAGTAGCCATCAGGACGGAGGGTCTTGCCCAGCTGCAGGGTCCGTTCCATGAAGGCACGGGCACTCTGCTCAAACTGCTCCTTGGCTTTCTCCTTCACCTTCTCAGGAGGCCACCGCGGGTGCTTCTGCTGCACCAGCTCCTCTGACTTCTGATGGTAGATGTCCATGGAGTCCCAGTTACGGATCCACAGCGGGCGCCACTTCTCCCAGTCAATGACAGCCAGCCCACCATAGGCAGGGCTGGGCAGGTTAACCTTGATGTCCTGGATGGCCCGGAGGAGGTGGGTCCACAGGCTGGCATTTTGGGGGAGCCCCCCATTCACTGGCACCCCCTCATCTGTGTAGTAGGGGAGAAGTCCCAAGTCTTCGCTGTAGAAGAGGGAGATGTCCTGCCCCTTGAAGGACTGCTGGTTGTTGGCCAACATGTCAAAGACCTCCAGGTTGAGGGTGACGTTGTACTTCTCGGCGCAGCGCTCAGTGGGGATGTTCCAGATGGTGACGAAGGGGCGGTTGATGAGGACAGGGCCAGGCCCCCCGGCGTGGGCCGGGGCAAGCAGGAGCAGCGGGAGGACCCAGTAGGACCATCCTGATGTCATGGTGGTGGTGGGTGCAGGGTGGGTCCCGGGGCTGCCTGGGGAGAGCCGAGACAGGCTGAGCCCTGGGCAGACCTTGATGCTTTTATCCCCAGCCCAAGCCAGGGCTGGCATTAATCCCCACCCCTGTCCCCAAGCAGCGTCAGTCACCCAGGGTCACTTCTTCCACCTCCTGCTGTGAAGTGCCCAGCGCTATCAGCAGCCACAGCCCGGCACGGTGCCAGCCGGGGGGAATGACTGGCTGCGGAGGAATGCGCAGAGTCAACACCCAGTGACCAGCAGGCGATGAGCTGGCCTGGAAACACAAACACACACGAAGTGAGGGGTTCAAGGTGACGGTGAGGGACGTGGGGCTGCTGGGGGGGCGCAGGGAACAGCATCGGCCATTAGACAGCAGGAGGAGGGCACCGCCGGGCGGAAGCCTGAGGCAT